TACACACCCTGACTGTGTTTCGCTTGCGAAATTCCTGCGTATTGCACTATCCCAGGCAATTCCATGCTATGGAGTTGTTTGGGATCACCTCCCAGGAAAATTGTGCCTTCCTATCACTCCTGCCAGTTAGCAGGTTTCCTCATGAAATAATTTTCTACATAATTTTAAATTTAATTTTCTTCCTTGTATGGTCACATGGCCAGTACACAGGCCTTCAGATTGTAGTGAACTCAAGGGGAATTACAGCCTTCCACAAATTCCTCTTCAGCATTAGGTTTTTGCTCTAGCAACAGTTATTTCAGCTTTAAAGCACCTCCTGAGGGCTTTGTGCTGCCTGTGATGTCTCCATGAGAACTCACCTGGAAAAGGCGTAGCTGAAATGAAGCTCCACACTGCACTGATACAGCATGTCTTCAAAAAGCCTACACAGCTTTTTGATGAGTGTATCTTTTGCTCTGACTGTCATGATTATGTTTAGTGGTGGACTTGGCAGTACTAGGTTAATGATTGCACCCAATGATCTTAAAGGTCTTTTCCAATCTAAACAATTCTATGTGGTCAGTCTTCCTAATTACAGTACTACAAGACCTGTACATATTCATATATTGAGTTGCTCCCACTGAAATCACTAGGATTCCTCAAAATGGGTGAATTGTGGGATTGGAACCTATCTGTGGGAACTGTAATATATCTGATCCAGAATAAAATGCTTCAAGATAATGTAAGTTTCCATTCCTATAGCAAACAGGTTTTGGTGGCTTCACAAAATTTCTTCCAAGAGTCTTCTCACACTGGTGATCTAAAAGCTGTTATTTCTGATAATGTTAAAGTTGAAGAATTCACATCTTGTGCTGTTGGTATCACTGCACATTGCAGGGTGATGATCCAGAGGATAAACCCTGGAACTTCACATGCCGAGATGGAGAAAATCAATCTCTGTTAATAAAAAAAGGTAGGCTCAGTGGTGCAGAAAATCACTACTCTGGAGCCTTAAAGAGACTCCTTCAAAAATTCATGATTATAGAATGGAACCTTGGGCTACATTATAGTCCTGAAAAAAAATCAGAATATGGAGAAAAAAAAATCCAGTTTTCGTTAGGTGAAGAAAATAAAGAATAAATCCCATAAGCAGACAAAGTCATTGATCACATGGAATACATTATATGCTCAATATGTAAGAACATTTTCCAAGTTTCCCAAGTACCCAATACTTTTCCTAAATACTTTTCAAAGTTAATTTTTCTTTTCTTGTTTGTTTACTCATGCCCCTAGCACTAAATCCATCCGAATAAAATTTCTGGTTTTTCTGGTCAACTGCTGCAGGGTAGCTGCAGGACATTCAACCTGGGTGATATACAAACGTGTAACAAACTCAGTATGAACCTAATGACTTAAACTTACTACTCCATACAGTATTTGGTGATGTCCCCTGCTGATGATCTCCATGATACAAATACAGTGCACAATAAATAGCAGAGAGCAAACATCTTTGCCCTCCTTGTGTACACTGTGCCTACAGACATCCTGATGAGAGGCTTCTATAATATGACAGAAACTTGAAGACACTAAATAACTTCCTTAAAAGTAGATTTCCAATTTTCTGTCTATGGGGAGTCTGAATTCCTGCATCACAATCATTTGGGGCCCAGAATGATTAATATTCAGTCCTGCAGTGTAGGTGGGTGTGATGGCTGATAATTTGGATGATCTTTGGCTTGAAACATGGCTTTTGCACAGTTAGAGCAGGAAGAATTCCAGCTTTGCTTTTACAGTATTTTAGCTTTCAGCCTTGACATACCTGTAATGCAGTATTTGTATGGAAGAGATTGGGTTATTTTAAGTGTAGTCTAGTCAACTGCCTGGAAATACAGCCACTCTAAGTGTATGCTACAAGGCCTTTTTACCATATTATCATACACCAAATTGTTCTTTTAAATTATTTTTCACATATTTAATGCAGCTACAGATCTATTAATGAAGAAACATTTCAGTAGTTCAGCTGATCAGCCCAAAACCAAAAAGCTCCTGACGGTTCATCTTCTTGCTTACTTAAGCATGGCTGAGTCATGACTACAGTGAATCCAGCACTTCCTTTAACTTTTAGTTATTCATTCATTCATTCGTTCGTTCATTCATTCATTCATTCATTGTTAGGGTGCATGTGTGAGGGGCTTGGGTGAGTGCAATTTAGTGTCATATAAGTGCCATCATCCCTGACTTCTCAGGTAAGCTGAGATTGAAATACTGTTTCACACAAATACCTATTTTTCATCTGTTTTGTGTAACAACATACTCATAACATTGGACTTCTCAGAACTCATTTGAATTATTTTCACTGCACGGTTGGACAAAGAGGACAGCTGAGAGACAGGAAAAAAACTGGCCTTAGAATTCAACACTGATTTATATTTATAAATTTTCAATAGGATTGACTATATGAGCTGGAAAAGATCAGTTTTAATTGAGGCACTCAGCCCTCTCCCAACTTTAACTTGCCCTTCCTCAGTATATTATTAAAGAATTTGCCAGCAAAGATAACATGATGGTCAGTTTACACTTGCTGCTCAGCATTCACTCTATTTTGAACTGATGTGCTGATAGAAGTCCTGTCTGTACCCAGTTGGGTTGGCACATGGACTTGCCAAGCTCAGAAATGTACATTTTAATTGTAATGCCCCCAAATCACAAGCACATTTGCTAGCATTCCTCATTCAGAGCTTCTCTCTGCAGTTCTCCTCCTTGGCTCTTTTTTTTAACGAGTAGGAAAGACATACATTGGGTTAAACTAAAGGCAAATGATGGGTGGGAACAAACACTTGCAAAAGGTAAGCAGCTACTTAGTATTCAGGAGCAAGCAGAGCCCTTCAGCTTCACAAACAGCTCATGTGGGATCTACTTTTATTTGGCAAGGAGGATGCTTTTCCCACCATGTAGCACCTTTCTGAAGCTGCAGCCATAGCAGAATAGAATCATAGAATCATCAAGACAAAGGGGCGCGATTCTGTGCCAAGCCAGTCGGGTGGATGAGGTGGTCTGCTTTAGTGCTGGAAAAGTTGAGAGGGAATTTGTTGTGGTAACTGAGCACATTACAGAGAGGTGTCCTTGCTTCTGTCCCCCACTGTTTGTTGCGAGAAATCACCATTGGGGTAGTTATTGCTGAATAGCAGGATGCTCCAGGGAGGGGATTACTGTCTGTGATGCTTATGGGACGTGGCTGGTGTGCACTATCAGGCCAGCGTCTGGCTGTACATGGGCCCAACTACAAACTCACTAAGAGAGCCAGAGTAAATGTGGTTCTGTTTGCAATCTGACGCTATGCCACTGTGTACAAGCAGGCCTTTTGACCCGAAATAGCTTCAAATTACTGTACATAAACCATAATCTTCCGGTGGGAGCACAGTAGTTTTCCATTTTATAGCTAATTGGATGATACACTTGCAATGGCCTTTGTTAACATGGCTGGCACTGGGCAGGGAACAGTGATGGAACGCTTTTATTTAGAAATCTTGCAAAAATGCAGTGACTGTCCCCATTTGACAGCAAATGAAACCAATTGTCAGTTAACTAAATAACAACCAATTATCCTGAAGGAAAAAAAAAAAAAAAAAGAAGAAAATGGCTTACTTCACGTTCTTTGTTGAAGCAAACGCCAATCAGATGATGGGAGATTTTTTCTTTCTCCTATAAGAAGACAAAATGGCAAAAGATGTGCAGAAAATGCACAGTGCTTTGTTTTTTTTTAAATACCATCTTTTTCTCACACAAGAATATTTGAGAAACTAGATAAGAACACCTTAAGCTCCTGAGTCATTTCATTTCCTTATATTTTTTTAAATCAAAATTACAATTATTATACAAGCACAATGTTTCCTTCTTTCTTATGCCACTGTAGGATACTTTAAGCACAAGGGCAGCTCCACTGAAGCTGGCTGCCTTCACAAGGAAGGACCAGCAAACAGCTGGCTGCTGTGCAGTGCAATGACAGGCAAGATTGTGAGATTAACATTTGCATCACCAGATCAAGCCCTTCCTCTTTCATATTTTATGGACTTTTAGGGGTCCATAGGTGAGATGTTGTCAGAACTTGTAATGTTAAAAAACCTGAAGTACTCGGAGCCCTTAGGAAGCAGCTGAGTGGTGCTGTCAGCACAGCTGTTTTGGTCTTAGATCTCTCTAAGACCCATATCACATGTCTATATCCTTTTTTGAATCTGGACAATAAGCTAAAAGGTATTGATTCAGTCAAAACCATTGCATGGAGAAAACCAGCCACATCACTGGCAGGAAGAAAAAGGCGCTCTCCCTGTTATTGCTGTTTATTTTAACTAGTAGCTTAATACCATCTCCCCAAAAGAAGCAGTGTAACTCAACATGAAGACTAAAGCTTGATCCTATAGGCTTTCAGCTGTGGTACAGTCACAGAGCAGAGGCTAATGGCTGCAGTGGGTGTCTGACAGCTGGGCTTTCAGTGGATGATGCACTGGGCAGAGAAAGCGGATAGATTAGACCAAAGAGGCAGCTGCTACAAGCTAACTTAATAGCGCTGAGTTAGTAAGAGACGACCATTTACTCGTGGCACCTTGGCTTTGAATTTTTATCGCACTTCCCTCATAAGCAGTTAAGGACAGCAGTTAATGCACACAAGCATTATGTGGCCTCACTTCTTGCCTGTGGGGCTGGACCACAGCTGGTCCCTTGGGGCTGACATCAGGGCTGTGTCTGCCTAATATCCATTAGTTCCATCAACCAATACTTCTTCACTTTTTACTCATTGTGCAATAAGATTTTTATTATGCTACTTTGAGCTGCTCACAGCACCATTTCACGGGTTTCAAATTGTTTTACTCTTTTGTTAATACTTTCATGGCCCGTGTTTCATAACTGGATAGTGGAGGGTGAGAGATATGTCTTTTAACCCTCGGGAAAGCAATGAATATTGCTTTTTCATTAACTGTTGTGAGATTCGGCACTGCACATATTGATCTCTTACTTTCTTACAGGAACATTTTACACCTGAATGCAAGTTCAAAGAATCAGTATTTGAAAACTACTATGTGACATATTCTTCAATGATCTACAGACAGCAACAGTCTGGCCGGGGTTGGTATTTGGGTCTTAACAAAGAAGGAGAAATAATGAAAGGAAACCACGTGAAAAAAAATAAACCTGCAGCACATTTTCTTCCAAAACCATTAAAAGGTAATTGCTTGGGTTTGCTTCATCTATCTGAACTGACATTATCTTATGTCAGAGATGTTTAATTGTTGCACATACATATTTGAAGGGTTTAGCTGCTTATATAACAGGAGAATAATGTTCCATAACACACTGTTAATCTAACCAGAGTTGGGGTTTTTTTGGTTTCTCTATGTTACTTCTGCATTTCTTTAATCTAACTAAATACACATCTTATTTTCTTTGTGCCTGAAGTCCACATCGACTTCATTACAGGTAAAGAAAGCTCTGCCTGGAATGACCCAACATTTGCCTCACAGGCCATTAGCGACTTGCTGTATAGCTTGTCAGTCTGTCCGTTGTGTTACAGGATGTTTGTCTATTTTTGCCTGGGATAAAGCTCTAATGTGTAGTGCTTATTAAACCACAATTAATGTGGTTTCAGCATATGACATTAAAGGTAATAATGCATGTGGCATGCATATACCACTGTGTATAAAAAGCCAGGCTATAGAGTCATCCCAGTTAATGGAAGGATCTGAATCAGGATTGTGGTCAGACATGGCTCCCTCTTTGGTCAATGCAAAGAGGGAGATCTCAGTTGATGTATGGAGGTGCTCCTTTTCTCCAGAAGAACTAGCTTCCATATGCTCCTTCCTTAAGAGGAATGAAGCTTTCTACTTCTGGGTTATGCTTTTAGGTAGCCTTTTAAGGCAGTGTCATTTTGAAATCAAAGATGATATTTCAAAGGTGCATAGCCCTGGTGGATGCTGGACTAGTTTGGCAGTCTACATCTAGGACTAGGTGTTTAGGCAACTAATGTTGAGGTCGATGCTCACTTCTAATGTGTGTGAAAACAAAGGAAACAGAAGACTGAAAAATCCATTTTCACACCCACCTACTTAGGCTATGTGTACAAGTAACAGATCAAATCACAGCTGTTGACAGTGCTACTTCACCATTAATAAGGAAATGTTGATTTATATCAGCTTAGGTCTATCGTGCAGATTTTTGTAAGTGCAGTGGGTAGGTGGGTGATTTAACTGGGAGAGGGGGGAAGCTGTGTTTTTTCCCTAAAACCTCAAATTTCTCTAAAATGTCATTCCCTTGAAGAGGACCTCAGAGGTTCTTAGGAAGCGTTTGAAATGGAAGAGGTCTCCTTGCCATGTTTTTTCATTCACTCCTTACATTGCATATTGCTGAATGAAAAATCCCAACTTTTCACAGCAAGACTTTGCACCGACAGACTGAGTAGCCCATAACATGTGCTGACATGCTGCCTCTCTTTTGCTTTGCAGTGGCCATGTACAAAGAGCCTTCTCTCCACGATCTCACAGAGTTCTCAAGATCTGGAAGTGGGACCCCAACAAAGAGCAGAAGCGTTTCAGGAGTATTAAATGGGGGTAAATCCATGAGCCAAAATGAGTCAACGTAGCCAGGTTCAGGCAAGCCAAGTGCTTTCTAAACAGAACCTTACCTCCGGATGCAGTTGAATTCTTACTAGCAGTCTTTCATCCAAACGTTCAGTTGCCCAGGACAAGCCACCGAACTTGCATAGGTCACTTGTTTATCAGCCATTAGATCTACTGGTTGTCGAAGGATATACCCCAATAATGTAGAATATGCTTGTGCATATCACAAGGCACTTGGATAGCCAGCAAACATAACTGCGGAATAAATCTTGGAGAAGAAATGTCCAGCTCTTTTTCTCTCTCCCTCCCTCTCCCTCTCTCTCTTTTTCTCTCTTTCTCTCTCTCTCTCCTATGCTTTGTGGAATACGAAACAAAAACATTTCACAGCATTCACTGCTGATAAGAATTTGCTTTCCAACTCAGAAAAAGACCACTTTTGCTCTTCAAAGGAAATTTTAATGCTTGTATGTTTTATAGGGGCAAACAAAAAACAAATATGTAAACTCTGTGGTTTCCTTGGCTTACCGTTTTATATCTAAGGCTTGATAAAAAAAAAAAAGTATCCTTTAATTTGGAATAGCGCAATTTTTTGATTTCTGAACTCCAATGGGTCTTTAAAACTATGTCTTTAAAAAAATAATTAAAAATTCAGGGTTGGAACTGAGAGTTGGTGTCTCAGGCTCAAGCAAACAGTGTTCTTGTGGTTTTAAACACAATGAAATATAAATTTTTATAGATTTGTAGATTCTGGTAAAGTTCTTGTGCTAACCCCAGTCTGTAGGAATTGAGTTGTTTTGTTATCCCAAGTGGAAGTTAACAGAAAGGGATAAAATTATCCTCCAGTGTAGATTTCTCTTAATTCCATTTTGTGTGTCATGTTAAATTATTGTTGTGGCTTCTTTTCTAAAGACAGAAACTGTGGAATTAAGGTGACTTAATTTTTTTATAAGAAACGTCTTATTTGTAAAAGTCCTTCTTTCACTGTAACGGGCACGTGAATATTGTGTAGGAGGAAGCGTTAGGACAGGTTACCCCTAAACAACATATACTTATACATGCTATTGGAAACAATTGTTTAAAAAATGTAGTTAGGTTTCCATTTAGGTCATCATGTCTGTTGCATGGGAGAAAGTTGGAATATTGGCATAGAGTTGCATGATGTGTAAGATTTTGTGCATTAATCATCGTTGGATTCTGTGCTCCAAAACTGACATAGTTCTGTACAGGCAGCTTTCTGCCTCGTACAAAAGAGTTGTTTATTATTTGTTGTATACACAACCATGCACTGAATAAACTATTTATATTAAGATGTACTTTTTAAAAAAGCTTGTTTGATTACATGATGTACATCCGTGATTAAGTTCAAGGGAAAGGGTTGGCAGTTAAATTATAACGTTATAAAAGATATTGTAATTAACGTTCAACATCTTTCTATGTAATGGGTTATTCCCCTGTAATGCCATACACTATATAAATGAGAACATGTTCTTTCTTTTGGATATGGTTAGAACTGGTCTTACATGCCCAGCCGAGATACTCAAAACATAGTGACAATTAAGTGCCACAAAGTCTTGGTAAGGGCCTCTCTGCCGTGCGCTGCTGGAGCCCCAGTGAATTGCAGTCCTCTGCTTTGAGCTTCTCCAGCTTCTCCGTGTCTGCACTCTCTGTCAGACTTTCCTTAGTGCAGCCACGTAGCGCTACCTCGCAGCACACCTCCCCAGAGCCCTCAGTACAGGGGGTCCCAAGGAGATCCAGTAAGCCAAGCGCTGCTTGATCCGGGGTGGCACCTTGAGGTTGCTCAGTGTTTGCCATGCATCACTGCAGGTACACTTTATGGGCCAGCTTTATCTAGTCTTGAGGAAAAAGGCTCCCATGCCTCCCGCCTTTGGGCACATGCTCTGGAGAGAAAACATCTCTCTCTCCAGTCTTTTCTCTCTGAAAACCTCAGTGAGAACTTTTCTCATCTGCAATATCCAGGCAGCTCTGACAGGTGAGCTTCACTCATCCAGGTATTTCAAAAAGGCCTAGGAGGAAAAAGTTTCCATCATGGGTGGCTGAAGAACCATTTCTGGAAGGGAATAATGGAGATGGAGGCAAAAAGCTACCTATAAATATTATCCTGAAATTAAAATCAGGTTTTCTGCTGTCTGCTCTGTGTGCCTCCCACTTGACCAAGCTGGAATTAGACCTCAGACCAGGCTGGGACAATGATTATTTTTTTTAAGGTTGGGGCCGAGAGAGGAGGGAAGGAGGTTGTGTTTCAGATCAAACTCCCAGATTTATTGTTTTGTGGCAAATAGTAGGCAAAGAGCTCTGGCATGCTGAGCTCCCATATTGGAGCAGGGTGTTGCCCTCCCCAAATACTGCCCTCTTGCTGTTCTTTCAGGGCCTGGGGGTCCTCAGCTCACCCCTTTCCGAAGGGCAAAGAAGGTGGGAGCACAACCAATGCTATAGAAATCCTTAAAATTTGAAGATGTGGCTGTGATTACTCCAGAGGTTTTGATAACTCATTGGGTCTGGAGCATCTGTTGCTTTCAAGTGTGGTATGTCCTTGTGGAACATTTCTCTTAACCCTCACAGCCCCAAACATCAAACTTATTGGGATGCATATTCCAATAAAAGGAGTCCGAGTGCCTTAGGAACATAAAACCTGATTAAAAAATAGGCATGTTTGTGGCAAAGCTAGTTCAATGCTGAGCATTTACTATCCTAAAGATAACTGGAGGTCTGCTGCTTTGCTTTATAGCTGCAGTCTTACTGTTATTCCCCATCTCCAGCACCTCCAACCTTGAAGGTCATCTGCAGTGAAAGAAAAAATGCTTATCTCACAGATTGTCCCTTCTGAGGTCTGTAGTCTGAGCCATCTTTTGTATTGATGTGTTTGCTGTGAGTGTTCACTGCCAAGTCCCTAGTTTCAAGGGTTTCTAATATACCAAACTACCAAAGGCCACTCTTGTATTGAGGTGAGAAAAGAGATATGGTGATAGATGAGCCATATAAATAGCTGCTTCTGATAATTACGTTAAATTTCTGTTCCAGCAATAGTTTTTTCCTTCAGGCTATTGTGGACTGAAAGGGCAATACTCATGATAGAGTCCAGATAGTAGACAAAAGCTCACGTACACTATGAGTAAATGGGATTATGCCAAGGGTTTTACAAGTAGTCTCTGGAACCATAGACTGGGATTTAATGAGGAGAAATGGAGTTAAATATGACTTTGCAGACAGTGAAGTAAAGGCGATATTCTGACCCAGCCAGCAAAGTCCCTTGGGTAGACAAGAATGTGGATTCAGCAGAGGACCACATTAAGGAGACAGACTCCAGAGTATTTATTTATCCTTCAGCACCCGTAAATTGGAAAGTTGAACAGATGACTCCTGGATAATAACTTCCTTTAAGAAATCTGCTAGATGATGGAAAAGTGTCCATATTGGTGGTTGTCCGTCAAAAGAAAACTTAAAGGCACTGGTCAACCCACTTTGCTCTGCCACATGTACAGTGGCAGAGTACAGTAAGATGCACACCTGGAACAAGGACAAAGCCCCAGGGCTGGTATCAAACCAAGCCCTGCGCTGTCTATGAGCCACTAAGCATCTGCAGAAGGCTTGGTCTGCGGCCCTTCTGTTATTGCCAATGCGATGGCTGATGCCTTTCATCTGCCATTTCTCTTGCCCCTGCCTCTCCGGCAATGCTGCCCACACTGTGCAGCATACCATGGGCCTGGAGGTGGCTCAGGAGGTGCAAAACCAGCACAGCAGCTTTCTGATGCACCTGGGCTTTGCCTGGTGAAGCCCCGAGCCACCGCAGGGGCTGTGCAGAGACATTATGAAAGGCTGACAAATACTACCTGCCAAACTCAAAAAAAAAACAGGTTACCCATGAAATTGGAAGGAATACTGCTAGGAGCACAACTGCTATGAGGCAAAATTGCTGCCTTTTGTGATCCACCTGTCAGAACTGCTTTCTCAGAGGTCTCTACAAGGGGCTCAGGCATTGCTTGGCCTGGTTTTGGGGTGCGGGAGGGTGGGAAGAACTCTTCTCTGTATCACAGAGAGCTTTCTTTTTTTCTTTTCATTTACCTCATGCTACCTCACAGCATGGTTGTATCTCCGTAGCCACTTGCCCAGCCATGTTCATCGCTGGCATGATGGAAGACAATTCCCTACTTGGGGAAAATATCTCCAAGTTATCCTGGGGAAGAATGGTCCCCCTTCTGCAGCACCGTCTGGTGTTCCCACCACTGGTTTGCAGCCCATGCGCCAGGTTTTCCAGTGGGATAAAGACAGTGTAATGAGCTCAGGGATGCTGTGGTATGCCAGGCCTCTCCCCAGCTGAGCACCAGCACGAGAGCCAGGTCTGGCAGAGCTCTGCTGTGTCTTGAGTATCTCCGCGTGGAGACCAGAGCCAGCTCTAACGGGTTTAAATGTCTCCCTGACATATCCGTGACCAGGACACTTTTGCAGGACAGAATCTGTACATAACAACCTCCTGTCTTCTAATAAATAATTCTCTCTAAAACAGACTTCCTCTTGTCTGGGCTCTGATTTTTATCACCGCAGATATTTAAGGGCTCTCTACGCCACTGGTGCACTACACCATTGCTTAGCTTTCTTTGGGATATAGACCCTTTTCCTGTCTTCATGAACCAGAGAAGGGCAACCTGAGTGGTCAAGCCAAAACCATCACAGATGGATCCTTCAGTTTTCTGTAGCCTCAACATAGTCCATGAAGGACACAGAAAGTGTGATGCGTTTTACCAGCTCAGGGAATGACTACTCTAAATATTGGAGCTGTTTCCCACATGGTATAAGACCAAGACAAAAAAAAAAAAAAAAAAAAAACCCAACACCATGGTTTTTTCTGACTTTGGCTCTGCAAAAATTACATAAAAGAATAGTAGCAAGCCTATTTAAAATAAATTGATTTGTTAGGAAAAAGCCCTACCATGCAATTTACCCTGAATAACGCCAGCTTTGCGCTTTTTTCAGCTCTTTTTGGGGGAGATGTTCTTGACAACTTAAAATTCCCAGTTCATGGGGTACATTTTTAAGAAACTCTCTTCCCTGGCATGAGTGAGC